TTGATTTTTTCAAATTTCATCTAGAATAGAGGTGCTCAACTTTCTCATCTGGAATGCAATGGCATTTATGGAAGTTCGAGATATTTGACGTATCATTCCCCGTATAGCACCTAATATCACAGTAATATCGCAGCAATATTGCAATATATTAGTGTTGTGAGTATTGCGAAGGGAAAGTGGTACCGGAAAACCAGATCTGTTGATGATATCGGAATTATATACGAACAATCACAAGGAGTCAGAAGGTGGAAAGAGTAAAGACTGAGAGCGGTATTGTCGGTATAATGGCGCTTCATCCAGTCTCGATCTTGTTACTAGTAGCGGGCGAGCGGCGACGCTGTTGAGTGGTATCGATGCTGAAAATGTCTCTCGTTTTATACTCTATATTAGTCTTTCTGTATTGATTATAATTATAAACATGTACTTTTCCTGTTGGATATAAAACTAAGTAGAAAGTGTCATTCTATCCTCAAAAATCCCATTAGGTTATGGGCCCAGTATCGGACTGAGGTAAATAAAGCGTGGAAAAAGTATACAGAAGTTTTTTTTAGTCACAAACGGCCGTACAGCAAAGTCAAGCTAACCTTCATAAGAATGGCACAGGAAAACCTGAAATTCAACATTCCTCTGTTAAACGGTGAAAACTATGTATTTTGGAAGACAAAAATACAAGCGCGGAACAAAGTAAATCTTTGACAGCTGCAAAAGTCGGTATTTCAAATGATCATATCACCTTTAAAATACATGAGAAGACTCAAACGTCTAATATAGGAACATGGTACATTGATTCGGGCGCAACGTGCCATATGACAAACGAGAAATCCTTTTTCTCAGTGTTACAGGAAAATAACACCACAGTATCCCTCGCAGACGGTTCTTCAGTGAGAACTGCTGGAATTGGAAACGGCAATTTAATCTGCCGAATCTCTAATAATCGCCTTCAGACAATAGAACTCAAAAATGTTCTATATATTCCACAACTGGATAGCGGACTAATTTCGGTGAGAAAAATAACCGAACAAGGATATCAAGTGACATTCAAAGAAAACACGTGCTATATTCATTAAGGACATCGAGCAATTGCAAGAGATGATTTTGATGGAAACCTATTCAAGTTGAGAACAACCGAAGCGGAAGCATCGACTAGGATGGCAAGCGTAACAACTTGCATTCATCAAGGCATCGTCGTTTTGGACAGAAATGTAAAGGCAATAAAACGTCTAATAAGCGAGGATTTAGCAACTGGAGTTGTTGTAACCAAATGTTCAGACGACATTATTTGCGAGCATTGCATTAAAGGAAAACTAGCACAAACAAAATTCCTAAAAAGTTAAAGAAGAGAGAAAGAACCTATGAGGCTAATTCATTCAGATTTATGTGGTCCGATGCAGACCCCTACTCCGAGTAATAATCGCTATTTCTTAACCTTGATAGATAATTATTCACGTTTCACTGTAGTTCGTTTGTTGAAGTCAAAGGACGAAGTCCCTCGCGTCATAAAAGAATACATTGCCGCAATGAACATAAGATTTGGCAAGAAACCCGTTGCACTCTGTACTGATAATGGCAAGGAGTACGTGTCGTCCGAATTATCAGAATTTTTACGAAAAGAAGGAATACAGCACCAACTTACTGTACCGTATACTCCACAACAAAATGGAGTTGCGGAGCGAAAGAACAGGTCATTGACTGAATCAGCAAAATGCATGTTGTTGGATGCAGAGCTAGACAACCGTTTTTGGGGAGAAGCGATTCTGACAGCAGCGTACTTGCAGAATCGAATGACAAGTCGCAGCGTGGATAAAACCTCGATTGAACTATTCACAGGAGAGAAACCGGATGTTGGACATATTCGGGTGTTTGGATCAAAAGCTTACTCTCTCATTCCTAAACAGAGACGCAGAAAATGGGACGATAAAGCAGAAGAAGGGGTACTTGTCAGGTACGACGGAAACACCAAGGGGTATCGTATCCTGGACCCAAGTACGAATCGGATTTGGATCAATAGATCAGTAAGAATAATAGGACGAAACTCGGATCACTTGAATTTGCATCGAACATCATTGAAGAAACAGGCACACACTAGTGAGGCAGAATACATAGAATATGAATTGCTAGAGGAAACCCATGAAATCTCCATAAACTCAGAAGAGGAATCAAACACTTCAGAAGAGGAATTTGACACACCACTCAACTCACCAGAGGAACCAGAAAGGCATGTGTCACAGCGAGGTAATAAGGGCGTGCCTCCATCAAAACTGGTTTACAGAGCGCAGCTGGATGCATTTAAGGAACCCATATCATGGACATGATGGAGCTACCGTTATCAGAAAAACAAAGATGGATTGCAGCCGCCGAAGAAGAGATGAAATCTCTTAATGAACATAAGGTATGGGAATTAACCGACCGATTGGAAAGAAAGCTATCACTTATAAGTGGGTTTTCAAGACAAAGCTAGACGGCGAAGGTCGAGTATGTACCTATAAGACTCGACTAGTAGCCCGAGGTTTCTCCCAATCTTACGGAGAGGATTACGACGAGACCTTTGCGCCTGTAGTTAAACACGAAACTATTCGTGCATTACTTTTAATAACAGCCCAAAAGGGTTTGTACGTAAGTCATCTTAATGTAAAGAGCGCATATTTAAATGGCGAACTCGAAGAAGAAATTTTTTTGGAGCAACCACCAGAATTCCAGAAACATGGATGCGAATCCAAGGTTTTAAGATTACACAAAAGTTTATATGCACTTAAACAATCTGCGCGAACTTGGAACAAACGAGCCACCAAAGTGTTGGCTCAATTGGGTTTTCGATCTGGGAAAGCCGACCCATGCTTGTATACCAGAAAAGAAAGGAAGGATGTTACGACCTACGTGTTGCTTTATGTCGACGACCTTCTAGTGGCTGGCGCATCTTCAATAATAACTAGCAAAGTGGGAAGAGACCTACAAAAATATTTCTGCACTAAGGACTTAGGTGACGTTCGTTCGGCATTCAGATGGAACGCATGAAAGATGGATCGTTTTTGCTTAATCAAAAAGGAAAAATCATCAAAGTATTAGAAGAGAATGGATTGCTAGAAACGAGACTAGCAGCAACACCAACGGAAATTGGCTATTTAGGTTCCGACAGACATTAGCATGCCATTACCGCATAATACACAGTACAGGGAAGTCATAGGATCGCTATTATATTTAGCTACAGTATCCAGACCGGACATTTCCACAGCAGTAGGAATCCTGAGTTGCCGTGTGGAAAAACCTACGGAGCAAGACAGGAAAGCTGCCAAACGAGTGATACGTTACCTGGGGGTATCTACATTAGACAAGAAACTGTACTTGCCTTCAACGGGAAAAATGAAACTAGAATGTTTTGTGGACGCGGATTGGGCTGGAGATAGGACTGACCGGAAATCTACTAATGGATACGTCTTTCGACTAGGAGATGGAATCATTGCATGGTCAAGTAAGAAACAAACATCGGTAGCAGCTTCCTCCACAGAAGTGGAGTATATTGCTGCATCACACGCAAGTAAAGAGTTGCTTTGGCTAAGGCAGCTACTGAAAAACATGAGTTTCCCTGCAGAAGAACCAACTATCATCAATGAAGATAACCAAGGATGTATTCGGTTAATTGAGTCAAGCAGGTGTGGGGCTCGCACCAAACACATTGATGTTTGCTACCATCAAATTCGGGACCTACAAGAGAAGAAGATACTGCACATGCGATACTGCCCCTCAGAAAGAATGCTAGCGGATTTGTTCACGAAGCCTTTGGCTAAGGAGCGGTTCCTAGAATTAACTGCTAGCTTGGGACTCCGATAGAACCGAATGGATTTCAGTGAGAAGGGGTGTCGGTATAATGGCGCTTCATCCAGTTTCGATCTTGTTACTAGTAACGGGCGAGCGGCGGCGCTGTGGTATCGATGCTGAGAATGTCTCTCGTTTTATACGTACTCTATATTCTTCTTTCTGTATTGACTATAATAATAAACATGTACTTTTCCTGTTGGATATAAAACTAAATAGAAAGTGTCATTCTATCCTCAAAAATTTCATTAGGTATAAATGAGATGTGCTTCTGAGCTTTATTCGAGAACGACTGACAATAGTCTAGAATTAAGCGATATACGTAAAGAGGTACCGAGAGGTAACCTTCGCTTCGCGAGAAAGACAGAAAAGGTTGCGAATGTATACATCGTGTGACACGAAATAAACAGCTGATCGATAGAAAAACTATCATGAATTCTGACCGTGCCGGTACCGGTAACAAGCGCGTTTTAAACTGAATAATTGTTGACAGGAATAAACGCTGAAAGTAAATCGATAACGAGCACACATGTTTAATAATATTATTTATATGAATCTGAATATAATATGCCGATATAAAATAATTAGCGCACTGAACATTTACTGAGTTTAGTCTAAACGATTAGAAATATTACATATTAGAGTATAATATTACAGAAATATTACTGATATGTTCCATGTTGATAAATGACATCAAAATATAACAGTAATATTGTGGCAATATAACGTATTAAGGAGCAGAGTGACATATACGTATAATATATAATATAATCGTAATTCTATGTTGATCGGCTCGTTACAGATGAATCTTCTGTCATTAAGATTGATGCCTTATGAAGCCAAACATAGGGTGTCAATGTGTAATAATTTTTTTATTTGTTCCAAAGTTTTGTACAAACGTTTCGATCCCGTTTCGGATCCTTTTCAATGCTAGTGTACGAATTCATCGAGTTTCCTGACGCACTATATCGTAAACATTTTCTAATTAATCTCACGAATTATAATTGAAAGTTTACAATAAGGTAAAATACTAATTAGTCTAAAGGATGTTTTGAAGGATATAGTCTAAGAATAAAATAATAATTAGTCTAAAGGATATTTTGAAGAGATGGAAACGAGAGGAGATTATTAGTGAGTCCAAATACAGACATTTTAACACTGCAAACTCAATTTTACCAAGAGCGTATGGAATGCCTAAAGTACATAAAGATGGTTATCCTTTAAGGATAATTATTTCATCTACAGGAAGTCCTTTGCATAATTTGGCAACGTTCTTGTATAAAATCTTAGTTACAAGCTTACCTCCAGTTAAAGGTTTTATTAGGAATAGCTTTCAACTCGCTAAAAATATAGATAAACTTAAAATTTCTAATGATGACACTCTGTTTTCTTTGGATGTGGTTTCATTGTTTACAAATGTCCCAGTGGATCTTGTGTTGGATGGTATTAATAAAAGGTGGCATTTGATACGGACCAACACATGCTTATCTAGAACAGAGTTTCTTAATGCGACTAAATTGATTCTTGACTCTACATTTTTTACCTTTAATGATAAATATTACAGACAATCCTTTGGAGTTCCCATGAGCTCCCCTTTATCACCAGTATTGGCAGACATAGTTTTACAGGACTTAGAAACATTTACTTTTTTTAATAGATTGACAAAAGAACCTTCTTTTTACATACGATACGTAGACGACATTGCATTAGCAATTAACAAAACACACATTAACGAACTCTGTCTTACATTCAACAACTATCATCCACGACTCAAATTTACATTGGAGGAAGGTGGTGACAAACTCAATTTTCTGGACCTAACTCTTATCAAGAAAAATGACTCCATATATCATGACTGGTATCAGAAACCTACATCATCAGGACGTTATCTCAATTTTTGTTTGCAACATCCACTTTGTCAGAAAATTGGAGTAATAGTGAGCTTAACAGATAGAGTTTTATTATTGTCACACCCTTCTTTTCATAGGAAAAACTTAGATAAAATAATTAGAATATTACTTAACAATGGCTATCCCTTGAATTTGATTTTCTCCACCATAAATAAAAGGTTACACAAGAAATTTTCTAATCACAACAATCAAATAGCTAATAATAAAAAAGTAGAAAAGAAACAAATCTACTTCACGGTACCTTTTATAGCAGGTATTTCAGAGAGAATCAAAAACCTTTTAAAGAAGACTAACATCATCAAAATAGCTTACAAGGGTATTAATAAATTGAGCAACTATATTAGAGTGCAGAAGGACAAACTCCCACATTTTATGCACACTGATGTGGTTTATAAGGTGGAGTGCAGAGACTGTGACGCTTCATACATCGGTCAAACAGGAAGGACTCTTAAAATCAGAATTAGTGAATGTTTCGGATTTATACTGGTTTCGAAATTCGCGCCAGTATACATGTCATTGAGTGCGGTCGAACAGGTAGGGGATTGGCGTTACCAAGTGGCGCTCTGATCGTATTAACTGTCAAACGAAGCGGCGCTGCGGTGTAGATCTTTTTATTTTGGAGTGAATGCGTACGCGCCTGTTTTTCCTTTTCAATGATTGTCCTTTCGTTTTTTTACTTTCTCCTTGGGTGTTCTTTTCGGACGTGTGAGTCCGTGCGTGCCTGTTCAGTACAAATTTGGGGAAAGGAGACGTCCTTTCAAATTATTGCATTGCTAAGTATCGCGACCGGGGAGGCGCGACACATCCAGACTGGTATTACCTCGACCGGATTAAGGCAGCCGGTCGAGAGTCTGGAATCCCGGTCTGCGTGCACGGGTCCGCCATTTTGACGGTCCGTTCGTTGTGCGAATTACACACTGGACGCCAGCATTACTGGATACAAGCTCTAAATTGCGCAAGTAAGACAAGACATTTGTATTAACCAGACAGACGACGATCATACGTATTACCAAATTATGTTAATATTTATAACCCTCGGAAAGTTGCTTTATAACCCTCGGAAAGTTGCTTTATAACCTTCGGAAAGTTGCTATATAGCGTGTCGTCACCTATCAACGTTGTGAATAAAATCCCAATCAACTGTTCCTTGCACGTCCAGCCAAGTTCGACAAACGCCAAGAATCTGGATTCGACGCCAGAAGACCCACGTCTCAAGTACACTGTCGGGGCGCACCGTAGTAGAACGATTGTCCCCGAACATCGTCGAGACATACTGAAGCGATAGGGTCGTCGACGACATTAGCCTCATATCGATCACCACCGATGACGATCTGTTGGAAATGGATTGGTCCAGCGTATGATTACGACAAAAATCTTGTTAACACCTTCGTTTCTGGTATTTGCAAATTACCAATGATTAAGCTATTAGATGTTAATTGGAATGTGATCATTTCCGGTCAGTATCCATGAGATATGGATATTATTGTCAGTCTTGTAAATAATCGTCAAGATTACGTACCCTTTTTTGTTATTGAGCTTAGCTGTCTCGGGTCAGATCGGGATGATTTATAGACCTCAAACCCATCGGAATGTTAATTTCAATAATTTAGATTTCTCAGGTAAAATATACTAGTGTTCTGTTCGTTATAGTTAATATCCAATGAATGGATTCGTTTAGTTCCTTCAATCTTCATCATCTTAATATTCAGTCTATTTAATCGTAACTGATTGATATGTGAGATCGGAGATTAGTTAGTTTATTTTGTCGCATATGAAGTTATCTTCGGTCTGGCTCGAATTCTGGCTCAGTGAATAAAATAAGCACTAGGACGGCGTAAAAATCCCTCTAACAATGTCAGAGTCAATGCCGTTATAAAATCCCTCTAAGTTTATCTTTTGTAAACGACTATTGGCGAACTGTTATTTCTTCATTGATAATATTGTGATATTAAAGGACAATATTTTTTATTGAACTTGCGGGAGTTTCTTCCTTCCCTCTAGCCGACGAGTTAAGTGAGAGTAGTGAACATCGAACAGTGAACATAGAAACCACATCAATAGAAATACAGACCAAAAATCGGTCATCACAGAACATAGATTAGAACATACACATGATTTTGACTGGGACAGTGTTAAAATTTTAGATCAGGAACAAATTTTAAGTAAAAGACTAATATCAGAAATGATTTTCATACGTAAACAAAAAAACGGCTTAAATATCCAATCAGACACAGATTCGTTAACTAAGCCATACGATTACCTATTTGATAATAACTGAGGTTTCTTCTCTTTAATGTTTTCGTTTGTTTGCGTTCGTGTAGTTTCGAATTTGTACTTGACATTATATTGTTTAGATGTATCTCATAGCTGATATAGATGACACGCATTATATTAGCATAACGAATATCATATAAGTTTATTCTTTGTTTGAACTGTGTAAATTTATCATTTATATTATTTACTTTATTGTAAACTTTCAATTATAATTCGTGAGATTAATTAGAAAATGTTTACGATATAGTGCGTCAAGAAACTCGATGAATTCGTACACTAGCATTGAAAAGGATCCGAAACGGGATCGAAACGTTTGTACAAAACTTTGGAACAAATAAAAAAATTATTACACATTGACACCCTGTGTTTGGCTTCATAAGGCATCAATCTTAATGACATATACATATACTGTATAGAATTATAGTATTCTGATATGGCTTGTGCCACATGCGTATGTGGATACGAGTTCTTCTGATAATAAAAAGAAAAATTGTTAACTGATTTTTTATTATATACATTTATTTGTATCATGCCGCTGGACTTGAACGACTCTTTGCGTGAGACTGTTGACCTTACAATGACTTGAAGGTGCAGAGATGCGCGCGCCCTCGGACTAGATACCGCAATTATGGTAGTGTCGGTAACTACATGTCGCAATGATTCTCGCGTTAACGGCAAGCTGAGTATTAACCATACGCGGGCGATTCGAACTCTATATAAATAAAAGTAAAAGAACGCAATATATCGCCGCCCTTGAAAGCATCAGCTTTCAATAATAAAATATACACATAATGTGCAATCAATAAAGTGACCTTACATAAATTGAACATAAAGTTGACTTAACTTAAATATAATTATAATCTTACGAATCTTAATATAAAAAAATTGTATTTATTATTATTCAATAGGCAAATGGATGGCTTAGTGATTCGCCTTATAAACTCCCTTTGAGGTTCGCACGGAGACGACGCGAATAACATTATCCTCAAAATTTAAACCTTTAAAAATTTAAATGATTGTCTAAAATAATATATTACTATGAAACGTAACTGATATATTGTTAATAAAGATGCCAGTTCAAAGTGAACATATATAAAGTGTATATTATCTAAATTTAATAATATATTACCATGAAAAATAATTGATACGTTATTCAAGGTGCAAGTTCAAAATGAAAATACAGACTGTTCAGATTTCAATCGCGGTCGGTATCGCGATTAGAAAAATTGTCATTTATCGCCGCAAGAGTCGGCGTCTCAGCTCGCGACACACTCGCGAGTACGTCACAACACGCGAGATTTCACGCGCCAATACCCGCGAGGCGCGCCAATATCAGTTGACGAATCCAAGGCACACTGGTGGCTGCAAGGTAAAAAACGAGAATTAGAAATCTAATTGGCTAAAAAATGCTAAGATAAAGACTAATATACTTACGTATTTCCGGGGAAAAGCTTCTGAACGTTTCAAGAATATTCTTATTCGGGAATATTCTTATTCGAGAATATTCTAATTGGTGGCTTTATACGTCACACACGCGAAGAGGAGTGCAGATCTCGATCTCGTACTTGTGCCTTGCTGCGTTATAGAGACTTTTGCTCTTACAAACCGATCGTTGCTCGCGAACGTTTTAGATTGCTTTAGATTGAGACCGTTGCTCGCGGCCGTGTATAATTAAAATAAATTGTGTGCATTTAATTGGTTTTTTGTGCTAATTGTAATTTACTGTCATATATTTGCCTATTTCTCTCTTTCTGTTTCTTTATTCGTGATTTAATAAATATGAAGTGTGCAGAGAATATTGTGCGTTACTTATTCCGATCTGCATTGTGTCTACCGACATACCTTTTGCGAACACAGACTTGTAAGTAAAACAGATTACAATTTGATTCTAGAAAATAAGTGCGATATGTTATTCTTAGTGCACAAAATATAAAAGTCGTTTATTGAGATTTGATTTGAAATTTACACTAGCTCGTTCAATGAAAAATAATTGCTTGTAATTCCAGAGTACAATTTGTTATGACTCGGAAAAAGAACATGGCGGCCTGGTCTCAAAAAACTTTGATGAGTTTCTCGATGTCCACTTAGGAATATTGTCGAAACTTTTACAGAGTAATTGTTACAACACTTGAAGTACAAAAAGTATTACATTAGAACCGTATTTTCAAAAGTTCTATAACGAAGTGAATATATTACGTCAAATAATCAGTAAACTCTTTAACTGTGTAGTTTCTTTGTACTTGACCTGAGAACTTCTTATTTATGAATTTTGGATTTAATTAATATTTACTCGTTTCACGTAATAAGATAACGTTTTTTATCAATAAATTTAAATTCACTGAAAATACGGTATAACAAACTCAAAATCGGAAGTTGATACGAAAATTCGAAATTTTACTAAAGAAAGATGGGAGGCTTTTAATCTAAACCATTTTCACAACTCTTTTATTTCAATTATTTATTCCATCCATCGAAAGTTTTTTGAGAGCAGGTCGACATGTTCTTTTTCTGAGTCATTAACAAATTGGTACTCTGGAATTACAAGCAATTTTTTTTTCATTGTACGGGCTAGTATAAATTTCAAATCAAATCTCAATGAACGACTTTTATATTTTGTGTACTAAGAATAACATATCGTACTTATTTTTTAGAATCAAATTGTAATCTGTTTTACTTATAAGTATGTATTTTTATTTTGAACTTGCACCTTGAATAACATATCAGTTATTTTTCATGGTAATATATTAATAAATTTAGATAATATACACTTTATGTATGTTCACTTTGAACTGCCACCTTTATTAATAATATATCAGTTATTTTTCATGGTAATATACGAGGGTCGTCTGAAAAGTTTTGAGCCTCATCATGAAGATGGCGTTACTCGTCAAAGCCATTCTGGTATTATAATCGTGATACTTACGAAAGATATCTGTGACAATTGTGGCCACTTTGGACGTTCAGTTCTTGTTTAACAATTATTTGTGTCGTCATTTTGTAAAAATGGAAAAAATTGAATATCGTGCTATAATTAAATTCTTGCATTTGAAAGGCAATACGTCTATGCAAATTAAAGCCGAATTGGACGCTGTTTATGGGGGGGGGACTCTGCCCCATCATTTGTCACCGTGAAAAGATGGGTAGCTGAATTTAAACGTGATCGTACCAGCTTAGCTGATGATGAGCGTTCGGGACGGCCAACAACTGCGACCACCACCGACAACATCGAAGAAATTCATCAAATGATAATGGACAACCGTCGAATTAAGGTTAGGGAGATAGCAGAGGCTGTT